AGGACGAGGACGGCCGTCGTCGCCGTCGTCTGGGTCCAGGGCAGCCACGAGGCTGCCTTCTTGAGGGGCAGCGTCGCTGGCCTCTTGGCGGAGGGGCGCCGTCAGGACCATTGTCGGAGGTGGGCGGGCGAGGGGGACTGAAGGGGCCTTGACTGACCTGGTGGCGACGGAGTGTCGCTCGGGCCGCTCGGGCCGCCGTTCTGCCCACCTCTTCCCGAGAGGGCGGTGCCGCCCGTAATTACCTGCGGGCCCAGCTCCCCGGCCCAGCGGGCGCAGCGGCAGCCCGATCGACTCGCCAGGGAGCGGCGGCCGCGCGAGCCGTCCGGGGCACCTGGCAGGGGGCGGCCTCAGGGCAGGCGGCCGCGTCAGGGAGGATCGTGTAGGCCTGGCCGCCCGCGGCCCGCGCTCGATCCCAGGAGCCAGGGGGCGCGCCGGTGGCGACGTTACCGCCGCCAATCGTAGCAACTCCTTGAGCGCAGTTGTCGCTGCCTTGTCCAGATGTGGGGTCCGTGCCCACGACGGCCCTGGGAGGAGGAGAGGTGTTTTTTTGGCGAGCCAGGTGTGACGACGCGACGGAGCTGCTGGGGTCCGTTGTGCCGCTCGCGACGTTGCGGCTGGATTTCGTCGCTGGCCACGGTTGCGCCGCCGGTTTCCGCTCTCTGGCCGTGGCGGCGAGGGCTCTCCAGGGCGAGCAGCGGCCGCAGCATCGACCCCCCTTCCGACGCGCCGAAGAGCCGGCCGTGGCGACGAGGGCTCTCCAGGACGCACAGCGGTGCCAGAGGATCTCCCCTGCCTCCGCCCCTTCGAAATTCTCCGACTCCCCAAATATCCAGCCGTGGCGACGGTGGATCTCCAGGACGAGCAGCGGCACCAGGTTCGATCGGTTCCGCCCGACCGTGGGCGGCCACGCTTCGCTGGGGTCTGACCTTCACTTCCAGGGGGGTCGGCCCTGGACCCACTCGGGGCGCCACTGGTCGTGGCAACTCCCTATGAAAAAACTTGTGCGTCGTCCCTGGGCGGGGGCGGCGCGGAATGAGGCAGGCCCGACCCTCCATTATTGGGGGCGCCACTGATCGTTGCATCTCCATGTCTGCGTCATCCCGGGGCGGGGAGGGTGCCCAGGGACGTCTGCGTCGTCCCGGAGCGGGGAGGGCGCAGAATGAGGCCGCTCCAGCCCTCCGTCGGCGCAGCAGTCCCTGGGCAGAGGCCGCTGCGCGTCCCGCGAGCGGGTCGTGCCCGACCAAGGGATGAGACGGGGGCGCTCTCGGGGGGCTGAGAACCCCCCGGAGTGACGACCCGACTGAGCTGCTGGGGTCCGTCGCGCTGCCCACGATGCCGCGGCTGGAGTTCGTCATGCTTCTCTCGGTTGTGCCGCTCGGTTCGGCCTTCTGGCCGTGGTGGCGAGGGCCCTCCAGGACGAGCAGCGGTCGCAGGATCGACCCCCCCTCCGACGCGCCGGGGAATTGGCCGTGGCGACGAGGACTCTCCAGGACGCGCAGCGGTGCCAGGATCTGAGCTCTCCCCCACCGCCGCCCCCACGAGATTCTCCGACCCCCTGAGAATCCAGCCGTGGCGACGAGGGCTCTCCGGGACACTCGCACAGGCGCACGCCCGCCCGCACGCGCGCAGCGTCGTCGAAACATCCCTTGTCCTCCTCCACCTCCTCCTGCTCGACCGCCACCTCGTCCGCGTACTCTTCCACGCCCCCCTCGAAGCCCTTGACGATTTCCTCCTCCGCCTCCTCCGCGTCGGCGGTTTTCGCCTCCTGCATCTCCTCGTCCACCGCATCCTGCACCTGCTCCACCTCCTCGATACGCTCCTCGATGCTCTCCACCGTCGGCTCCACTAGGTGCCCAGGCAGCTTGCCAGCGATCCCGTGCGCGACGCAGCCCGTGGTCGCCATCGCGCTCGCGCGGCCGTGATGGGAGAACCTGCCAATGATGGCCAGCATGGCGAGGCAGGTTTTCGCGATGCCCGCCGCCAACTCGGATGGCTTCCCCGCGGTGTCACTGGACGTCAGCAGTTCCGAGCCGAAATCGCCTGCAGCGGCGGCGAGGCTAGCGGACTGGTCCTGGGGCAGCTCGCGGAGCGCGCAGTACGTCACGACATGTGCCCAGTCCGCCGCGGGGACCTTGGAGGTCTCACCAACACCGTTCACGATGCGGGCGAATCTCAGGCCAGCCAAAGGCGACAGGTATTCGAGCAGCCTGCCGGCGATCTCGGGCGTGATGTAGCCCATGGTGACCAACGTGCTCACGCGGCCGTGCTTCGGCTCTGTCTGGCACCTCCTGGAAAAGTCCTCCGTGTTACCATCTGTTCTGAGCCCGGCAGGGCCCCAGAACCCTCTGGGACCCTGGACGCCCATTTCGCTCTCAAGCGCGCGGTGCGGGAATCCTGTGTAGAGCCCCTAATCGCCCCGGGCGGAGCTAAGCGACCCACTCGCAGCGCCAGGAACGCCAGCGGCCACGGCCGCCGCGGTCGCCACCGCGGGCGCGCCCGCAGATGCGGCCGCTGCGCTGGCGGCCGCGGCGGCGGCGCTCGCGGCGGCCAGCCCCAAGGCAGCCGCGCGGGCCACGGCGGCGGCGGCGGCGGCCCCGGTCGAAGAGCCGGCCGCGCGGCGGCAGCGGCGCTGGCGGCAGCCCCGGCAGCAACCGCGGCAAGCCACGCTGTCGCGGCGCCGGTGGGGGCCGCGCTTGCGGCTGCGGCGGCGGCCACGGCGTCGGCCTGGCCCCAGCCGCGGTCGAAGGCGGCGGCGGGCCGGGAGGCGGCGGGCTGGGCGGTGGCGCCGCGGCGCCCTCAGCGCCAGCGGCGGCGGCGGCCCGGGAGCGGAGGCCGCGCCGGCAGCCGCGGCGGCGCGCACAACGCTAACAGCGCCAGCGCCGCCGGCCGGAGGCGGCGGGCGGCCAGGGGGAGGGGCGGCGCCCGCAGCGCGGGCGGCGGCCGCCCGCCGCGGCCGGCGGCAGCGAGCCGCATGGCGGCGGCAGCGGCGGCTGCTGCGGCGCAGAGAGCGCCGGCGGCGGCGCTGCCGCCGCCGCCCCGCCGCGGAGGTCACCACGTCGGCAGAAGTGCCGAGCGTCGGCGGCGGTTGCGCGCGGCCCGGCCGCGCCGCCCAGGCCGCGCCAGCCAAGTTGAGCCAGGTTTGAGCCAGAGGGGGCGCGGACACATTCACGCGCGCACGCACACAAGCACAACCACGCACATGCACGCGCCACGAGGATTGGTCTTAGTGGGCCTGTCCGCATGTGGGCCCGCCACACACCCCTCTCGAGGATCGTGGCCCCACAGGGAACTCCACCGATAGCGCCGGTTGGCACAACAGCATGCTGGCCCGCGCCCATTCTGGCAAACCCCTCACGAGGATCGTGGCCCCTCAGGGATCTACGCCAACGGTCGTGGGCCGCGCCCATTTTGGCAAACCCCGCGTGAGGATCGTGGTGGCAAGCCCCGCGTGAGGATCGTGGCCGCGAAGCGAGGTACACTAACGGTCGCAACGGGCACGTCCGAAGGCAGGCCCGCGCCCATCGTGTGCCCACAGGGAGCTCCACCGATGGTCGCAGCGGTAACCGCCGGATGCGGGCCCGCGCCCTTTCTGGCACATTCTCCCCGAGGGTCGATGTTCCCTAGGGAGACCCACCTACGTCCGCAGCGGGCCCGACCGCCCGTTGGCCCGCGCCCACTGCGTCAAACAAATCACGCGGATCGTGGCCGCAAAGGGAGGTACACTAACGGTCGCAACGGGCACGTCCGAAGGCAGGCCCGCGCCCATCGTGTGCCCACAGGGAGCTCCACCGATGGTCGCAGCGGGCACCGCCGGATGCGGGCCCGCGCCCTTTCTGGCACACCCTCCCCGAGGGTCGATATTCCGCAGGGAGACCCACCTGCGTCCGCAGCGGGCCCGACCGCCCGCCGGCCCGCGCCCACTGCGTCGAACAAATCACGCGAAGCGTGGCCGCAAAGGGAGGTGCACGTATGGTCTCGGTGGGCCCGACCGCACGCAGAGCGGCGCCCAATTCAGCACACACCCCACGCGGAACGGGCCTCGATATAGAGCCCCGCGCACGGTGCCAGCGGGCGCGACCGCATGCGGGGGGCGCCCGTTTTGCCCATTTTCAAGTTTCCTCGAACTCAGTCCCTGTCGTGGCGCGCAGTCCATGAGGAGAGGCCCGTGTCCTACGCTACATGCGGCTTCGCAGGGTCGGATCCGTCACCAGGCTTATTGGTCTGTAGTTCCGCCTTTGCTGGGCGCAAAAGGTCGCCCCCTTTCTCGGCCGAACCGCCGCGGTCCAGGTTTGGCATAAGGTTAGCGCGAAACGCCGCGGGCACCCTGGTTGTTCCCAGCGTATGTGAAAGCGGGTGCTGAGGCTCGGTGTCGCAGTGTCGCGCGGCTTGGATCGACAGTTGCAGCGGCCGCCCCTGACTTGCTCCTGGGATCTCGGCGTCAGGCTGATTCCTTGGGGTGTTTGCGCCGCCCGCAGTCTTTGGAGAGGCCCCACTGGTCATATGACCATGAATAACACGACTCCCAAGACGAGGTTGACACATAGTTTTTGTCCCCCGGTTCCCTTTCCTGGTCGTCGAGTCTCCGATTTTGGATCGCCTTGTACCGCTCACTCCTGCGATCCTCTATCCGTTCACTTCGTTGCAGGCTCCAGGTCAAGTCAAGGTCACAGATAGGCCCCAGCGGGCCCGCCCGCTGCCGTGAGCTGTTTCTTGAGTGCCGCGCCATGTGCCATGATCTTACCTGCAATTTGTGCGTGTGTGTGTGTTGTGTGTGTTGTGTGTGTGTGTTGTGTGTGTTGTGTGTGTGTGTGTGTGTGTGTGTGTGTGTGTGTGTGTGTGTGTGTGTGCGTGCGTGCGTGCGTGCGTGCGTGCGTGCGTGCGTGCGTGCGTGCGTGCGTGCGTGCGTGCGTGCGTGCGTGTTTTCTCATCTGCTTCCGCCGTTGTCTGGACCCCCCGCTGGCACATGCGGGAGAGAGCCCCTCGCTCGCGCGCGCTCACCCGGCTCAGGACAGCACCGCTGCTTTCTGGTCGGCGCGCGCCCTGCTTCCAGCTCGCTAGAAGGCCAGAACTTCGCATTCGATCCGACAGTGACCTCATGAAGTGCCAACCTACGTTAGCCTTGATCACCAAGAAAATACCGAAACTTGCCGGTTTTCACGTGTCAGGCCCCGGAAGGCGATGTTCGTTCGACGTTGTTTCGATACTCTTCGGGGCGCTCGAATTTTTTCTGGGATACGGTCCTGAAGTACGACGGGAGCAACATGACACTGACCCGGACTTCTGCCGCGTGGCACGAGGTAGACTTCTGCCTCGGGGGTGGACGGACCTCCTACCGTGACACGTCGATTAAGGAATTGGCCGTTTTCGGTTCGCGAGAGGGCGTCGCGGCCATCATTTTTACGGGTCCAGGTGCGTCGGTTTCGGTCCCAGGCCGTTTCCAGCAAGGGGAGGTCTATTGAAGGGATGTTTGTCCACCGCCGACTGCCGCAGGCAGAGCCGCCGCCATGGCCCCCGCCGCCGGGGGAGACTGGGGGCCGACCGCCTCCCCGTGTGAGTATCCATTATCGCGCCAACATCGCAGAGCGGTTTTCGTTCGGAGAACTCAGGAGGGGGAAAGCACACAGAAGCAATGAATCGTCGACTCCCCAGAAAACATGGGAAACTATGGGAAGTGGGGGGGAAGACAACAACCCCGAAATATAGGATAATATGGGGAATAGTTTTAATTTGTGTGTATTTTTTTGTGTGTCCCAGGACCCCTTCACTATCATTGCGCCAACATCGCAGAGCGGATTTCGCTCAGAAAACGACAGGCTGGGCCCGGAGTGTCCTGGAGAATTGCGTTCTGGGTTTCGAGGTGATTTAATCGCTTCGCTCATTCCGCCGGCCCATACGGTCTCATGTCTGCCGTTTGCCCGAGGGCCTGGTGTCAATGCGGCGCTTTGGGTGTTCCTGGGGCCGCTTGGGGGACTCCTGGGGCGCTCGGGGGGGCATTTGGGGGGCCTCCTGGGGCCGCTTGGGGGACTCTTGGGGGCCTCCTGAGGGCCTCGTGGGGGCCTTTTGGGGCCTCTTAGGGGCCTCTTGGGGCCTCGTAGGGGCTTCTTAGGGCCGAGGGCTCGAAATTTTGTTTCGTGTTCCCTCTCTGGGGCCCCTCTGGGGGTGTTCTTGGGGCCCTCTTGGACCGTCTTGGAGGCTTCTTGGGCCGTCTTCGAGCCCTCTTGGGCCATCTTGGGGCCCTCTTGGGGGCCTCTTGGGCCCTCTTGGGGCGATCTTGGGGGCCTCTGGGGCCGTCTTGGGGCGTCGGGAACCGAAAAGGTGGAAGCTCCAAAATCTTTCAAAAACCTAAGGAAAAACAATGAATTTTGCCTCCGGGGGCCCTCTTGGGAGTGCTCTTGGAGGCCTCTTGGGGCGTCTGGGGGCTATCTTGGGCGTCTTGGAGCGATCTTGTGGCATGTCGGACCCCTCGTGTACCATCTTGGGGGCCTCTTGGGGGCCTCTTGGGCTTTCTTGGGGCTCTCGGGGACGTCTCGGAGCCCTGTTGGTGCGCTCATGGAGCGCTCCTGGAGCGCTCTGGGGGACTCCTCTCGGGACTCTCTCAGGACCTTGCCGGGGTACTTCTCGTCCGTGGACCCCCAGGGGCCGCCCCGCGCGCGCGAACTAGAGAATTGTTAACCAGTTACCGGAGATCTTAGCACGCCTCTGGCCCGTTGGGCCGGCGAATTTTTTCGTGCGGATCTGTTTTGGCCAGGAATGAGGACTAGAACAAATCCACGCTTCCTATTTCACTCGCCGCTTCGGGGCTGTCCACTGGCAGACATCCGCGCAGCAATCCGCTGCAGCACGTCTGCAAGGCCGGTGCAGTGATATCTAGAAGCGGTGAGTTTTTTTCCGCCCGGTGAGCAAAACGGAGGCGCAAGTTTAAGTCGGGCCTGTCCCTCTACAGGGGGAATATTCAAAAATAGTTTAAAAAAGAGTCTGGGGACTATGTTTTGATTCTGTTTTGACCATTTTGGGGTGTTTTTTGAGTATTCTTCATTTTTCGTCGAAAATCCCCCTGTAGGGGGACACGCCCGATTTAAGCGTACGTGAATGCGCAGGATGGTTCAATCGCTCTCCCTCCGCTCTCCCAGCGTGATTGCTCCCACTGTCGATCGCCCCTCTCTTGCGCACTCCTTGCTGCGGAGGCACTCGCTGCGGTGGCCGGTGCTTGCGGCCGGCGCTGCCGCCCAGCGCAGAGGGGAAGGTGGCGTATCCTCGAGCAGATGGCGAGTGAAAGGGAAGTGGAAGATGAGGAGGTTGAGGAGGACGAGGGGGGGGATCTGGATGAGGAGCAGGCAGGAAGAGTAGGAGCTCGGACGCATTGGATAAGAAAGGGCATGTTTTGCGGGAGTGGTATGAACGAGTCTCTGGGCGTTGCCAGCAGGGCCCATGGCGAAGTCCAAGAACCACACTGGCCACAACCAGGTCTACAAGAACCACCGGAATGGCATCAAGAAAACCCGACGCCCACGGAGGGGTGTGGCACTTTTGGGTGCACAGCGTACTTCGATGTTTCTACAGAATAACGACGTCGTGCCAAAGTCAGAAGTCAGGATAGGGGTTGAGTGTAACGGATCCGTGTTCATGACCCCAGATTGTCTTTCGTACGTACAGCAGTGGACGAGGTCATGCAGTTGGGCCATTTGATTTTACGCGGGCCAAATTGCCAGATAACTTTTATCTCTCCAGCTTGCGCGTAGGCTCGGTCCCCGCGCACGGGAGTCGAACCCCGCACGACCAATATTACCTTGTTTCTGATGCCGTCAGACAGTAGAGGCGGGGGGTGGCGCAAGGGATGTTTCAATGAATCTAGATCCGCGAGGCGGCCCAGATCGAGGCACGTTTCGTTCTGGCCCCCAAGCCCCGCATGGATGGGACTGCTTCTTTCTGTTCGATTCTGTTTTCTTGGGTCAGCAGGGCAAGCGTGTCACTCTACAGGAGGAATATCCAGAAACAGTCAAACAATAGTCTAGGGACGATTTTGTTTAGTATGTGTTGACTCTTTTAGGGTATTTTTGAATATTTTTATTAATTTTTCGCCCAAGATCCGCCCGTAAGGGGACATGCCCGACCTAATTCTACTGTTTCTTGCTCCTGTTCCCTCCCACGTTCGCCCGTGGTGCCTGCACGGGCTGGCACTGCTGCACTCATCACGAAACATGGCACTTTGATGTTCAGCACTTGATCTGTTGTTTTGCCGGTGGGCGCGGGGCCCCGAAGCCCCCCCTCCCCTCCGCAGGGAGTGAATCCTGGCTGTTTTGTTGACGCCCGTCTCGAGCAGGTGGAGCCTCCCCTCCTAGGACGCAGTGCTGCAACCAGTCGCACTGAGCAGAGGTCCGGAGCCCGACCCCGCCCCCTTCCGCCCAATGTCGAAACGCCGAATAAGAAAACGTTGACCTGACCAGACATCGTTGTATGTTGTATACTGAGCTTGTTCCTCTCAGCGCTGCTTCTCCGACGCGTGCAAGGCTCCGTCTGACGTCTGCGGGCCAGATGACCTTTCGGGCCCCCTTGTAGGGGTCTAACACAGCTCTGCGCCGCCACGGGGCCGATGCGTTTCCAAAGGGTCTCGTTTCATTCGCCGCCTGGGCTTTCTCTTTCTGTCCGCACAACCGCCTTCTCTGTTTCCTTGCCCCCCTTTCTCCCCCTCGTCCTCCGCCCTCCTCTGTTTTCCCGGCGGTGTTGGATCACCTCAGGCATCCATTTTGTAAGCACCGCCAGTGGGCCGTCCAGCTTTCTGACGCAGCGCCATTCGGTAGCACTGTCCTGTGTGATCCGACGCATACGGACCAGAGGATTCATTAACTGAGTGTGGTTGCGTCGCGCTGCGGTGGGAGAGAAGAAAAAAAAACATGTTGGTGAATTTCGTTGTGATCAGACCTCATAACACAATCCCTTGTACATTACGCACTATTCGCGTCCCCGAAGCCATAAACCATCGTAAATTACCGAGTGTTCGCGCCACCGAAGCCATAAACTCTCGTCAATTCAGATTGGCCCTCGCGTGGAGACCGTCAGAATGATCCACGAGATTGTCGAGGACCAGGACATCGAGACGCAGCGCATAGTCAAGCGCAGCGCCCCTCATATTGAAGACTGCCTTCAATTCCTGAAGGAGGGCGAGGGTGGTACCCACTCGAATGTGTCCAGCATCTTCATAGCTCCAGATTGGCAGTCCTTTGCGACGACAGGCGTCCACATGTTGGGAATCGCACTTGGCCAACGCTGCGATGATCGCGCTGTCGACGTGGACCGCGTCAGACGTGCCGCAGCCGAGTCAGCGGCCCCAAAACGGAGTTCCAGCCCCATCGGCGCATTGAAGTTGTGTTCCGAGCGATTCGTCGGATGCCTCAGACCCCCACGGTCGCACGGGTGGCAAGCGCCCTCCCGCTGCTCAGCAGACGGCTCGCCCGCACTCGGCGCGCGCGGCTTCGCGCGGCAGGGCCAGCTCTGCTGGCCCCGGCCGCGGGGCACGATCCCCTGCGACGGGGAGCGGCGAGGGCATCGGGAAGGACCCGCGGGCGGTGGAGAGACGCATCGGCCAGGAGCCACAGGACGGAGAACCAGCTGGTCGCCGTCGCGACGCCGGCCCTGCTGCCCGGCAGATCGACGATCGGTCCCCTCCTCCTCCTCCTCCTCCTCCTCCTCCTCGTCCTCCTCCTCCTTCTCCTCCCTCCTGCTCCTCCTCCTCCTCCTCCTCCGGGCACCGTCCAGCAAGGCCGCAGTCACCCTCCGACCCCGCCCCGCGGCGTCTCATGATGCACGGGCGCGGGGGCCAGAGGCCGGCGGCTGGCGCGGCCGGCGCGGCCGGCGCGGCCGGCGCGGCCGGCGCGGCTGGGGCGACAATTGTCGGGGGAGCGTAAGACCCGGGTTTGCAAGGACTCGGGTACGCCATCGTTTTTTGACGACCGCGCCTCGGATTTTGACGAGGAGGAGTTTCGTGGGATGTCTGCAGCGGGAGGCCTCGTCAAAATGCAGGCTCGGCCTCGTCATTGTTTTGACGACCTCGTCGGGGATTTCCGAGTCCCCTGTACCCAGGTCTTACGTCCCCCTGAAACTGGGGCCGCGACGGCCGCAAGCATGGGAACTGGCGCTGATGAAGGGCGTCTCGTAACACGCAACAGTGCAGCGAGCGTCCTGGCGCGCGGCAGCGGCGCGGCGACCGGCAGTGACTTGAAGCCCCGTGCGCCCGGCAGCATGCCCGGGGCATGATGCGTTGGCTCATATGGCCAATTCACCGGGCGCGTTCCACTACTTGCAAAGTGCCTGCTCGCAAACGTCCGAAAAACAGATGTTTGCCTCGATGTAATTTATCGTAGATCCCCCGCGGCGGGTCCAGGCTATTTGCGAGTTAGTTACTTTGCAAGTAGTGGAACGCGCCCGTCTACTAGTGTTTAGTCTGCGCGCGGCGTTTCCGCGCCCGGGCGGCCGCGGGGCCAGGTGTGACCAACGTTCCCCTCGCTGCTTTGCATGGCTGTTGCCGACCATGCCGTTCGCATGGTTGGCACTCTCTGATATACCTATACGACCACCCTTCGGGTGATAAGGAGGTTCTGGGGGTGGGGGAGGAACCAACGTCTCACTCGATCGGTCTTACTATCGATCTCACTATCGGTCTCGCTCGATCGATCTCACTCGATCGATCTCACAATCGATCTCACTCGATCTATTTCATTCGATCGATCTCACAATCGATCTGACTATCGATCTCACAATTGATCTCACTATCGATCTCACTACCGATCTCACAGTCGATCTCACATTCGGTCTCACTATCGATCTCACTATGGATATCACAATCGATCTCACAATCAACGTCATCATCATCATCAACATCATCGTCATCAACGTCACCAACATCATCAACATCACCATCATCGGGACACCATCCTCATCACCATCATCATCAACAGCATCATCATACTCATCATCACCATCATCATCATCATCTTCATCATCAGCATCATCATCATCGGGACACCATCATCGTCACCATCATCATCAAGATCATCATCATCATCGGGACACCATCATCATCAGCATCGGAACACCACCATCATCATCACCATTATTATCACCATCATGAACAACATCATCAACATCATCATCGGGACACCATCATCACCAGCAACATCATCATCATCATCATCAGCTTCGGGACACCATTCTCATCGTCACCATCATCATCATCATCATCATCATCATCGGGACACCATCATCAACATCAACATCAGCTTTATCATCATCATCGGGCCACCATCATCAAAGCCATCATGATCACCTCATCATCCTCATCATCAGCATCATCACCATCATCGGGAAACCATCATCGTCGTCATCATCATCTCATGATCATCATGAGCAACATCATCAACCTCATCATCATCGGGACACCATCATCATCATCACCATCATCATCGGGACACCATCACCATCATCATCGGGACACCATCATCATCGTCACCATCATCATCATCACCATCATCATCATCAACATTGGGACACCATCATCATCATCATCATCAACATCAGCATCATCATCATCATCGGGACACCATCATCAAAGTCATCATCACCACCTCATCAGCATCCTCATCATGAACATCATCATCATCGGGACACCATCATCGTCATCATCATCAGCATCATCATCATCGGGGCACCATCATCATCGTCAGCACCATCATCATCATCAACACCATCATCATCAACCTAATCATCACCATCATCATCGGGACACCATCGTCATCATCAGCATCATCTTCATCATCATCAGCACCACCATCATCTCATCATCATCATCATCAACATGCTCATGCTCATCAACATCATCACCATCATCATCATCATCGGGACACCATCATCATCATCAGCAACGCCAACATCATCAGCATCATCATCACCATCATCGGGACACCATCATCATCACCACCATGGCCATCATCATCAACATCGTCATCAACATCATCATCATCATCATCATCATCGGGACACCATCATCATCACCACCATCACCATCACCATCATTAACATCATCATCATCATAGGCATCATCATCAACCTCATCATCACCATCATCATCGGGACACCTTCGTCATCATCAGCAGCATCATCATCATCGGGACACCATCATCGTCATCATCATCATCAGCATCATCATCATCGGGGCACCATCATCATCATCAGCATCGGAACACCACCACCATCATCAGCATCATCATCATGAACAACATCATCATCATCGGGATACCATCATCATCATCAGCCACATCAGCATCACCAACATCATCACAATCATCAGGACACCATCATCATCGTCACCATCATCATCATCAGCATCATCAGCATCGGGATACCATCATCATCATCAGCCACATCAGCATCACCAACATCATCACAATCATCAGGACACCATCATCATCGTCACCATCATCATCATCAGCATCATCAGCATCGGGATACCACCATCATTCATCAACATCAGCATCACCATCATCGTCGGGCCACCATCATCCAAATCATCACCATCACCTCATCATCATCCTCAGCACCAACATCATCATCATCATCGGGAAACCATCACCGTCATCGTCATTTCATCATCATCATGAGCAACATCAACAACATCATCATCATCATCATCATCATCATCATCATCATCATCATCGGGACACCATCATCATTATCAGCAACATCATCATCAGCATCAGCATCATCATCATCATCGGGACACCGTCATCATCGTCACCATCATCATCATCATCACCATCATTATCATCATCATCATCGGGACACCATCATCAGCATCAACATCAGCATCATCATCAGCATCATCGGACCACCATCATCATCATCATTACGTCATCATCATCCGCATCATCAACCTAATCATCACCATCATCATCGGGACACCATCATCGTCATCATCATCAACATCATCATCATCATCATCGTCGGGACACCATTCTCATCATCACTTTCATCATCATCAACAGCATCATCATCAACCTCATCATCACCATCATCATCGGGACACCATCATCATCATCATCTTCATCATCATCCGCATCATTAGCATGCCATCATCGTCATCATCATCAATATCATCAGGATCATCAACGTCATCATCATCATCATCATCGGGGCACCATCATCATGATCAGCAGCATCAGCATCATCAATATCATCATCATCGGGACACCATCTTCACCACCATGGCCATCATCATCACCATCATCATCATCAACATCGTCAACATCATCATCACCATCATCATCATCATCATCATCACCATCATCATCGGGACACCATCATCATCACCACCATCACTATCACCATCATCATCATCAACATCATCGACATTATCAGCATCAGCATCAGCATCAGCATCATCATCATCATCATCATCATCATCATCATCATCATCATCATCATCATCATCATCGGGTCACCGTCGGGACCCCGGCGGGACACCGGCGGGACACCGCGCGGCACAGGACGTCGGAAGGTAGTCATTTGGTCCGGCCGCGCCTCAGCCACAGCGGGACACCGGCGGGACTCCGCGCGGCACGGGTTGCCAGAAGGGAGTCATTTGGTCCGGCCGCGCCTCAGCCGGAGGAGACTTTCTTCTCGCCCGCCCACGCAGCTTCGCCTCGCCCGCACGCACGGCACGCACGGACACGAAACCGTAACCGATTTCCCGGTAGGGGGGCTCTCCGTTCCACTTCGATCTCACCCCCCCACCTCCGATGTACTTTTTGCGCAGCTATTCGCGCGCAGGTCAACGAGCGCGCGCGTCCACCCCGCCGGCCGGCCGCGCACACAGAGCTAGCACGATATTTGGTTAACGGACATCTCCCAGACATGGCAGGAAAAAACACGCCCCCGACTTCCCCGACGTTGGATATGCGACCGATCTTTGATACTCCACAAGAACAATCGGGAGGCCATCCAGAACACTTGCCTATCAAGGGGCAAATTTCTACGAGGACATATCTAGACATATCACTCTCTTCGAGCTCCTCTCGCGCGTGCGGTTCGCAGTTGGGATTTTCTGGGGCTGCCCTTCGGACTTCCCCTGGCCCCCACCTCGGGCGCTCTTTGGATATCCGCACGGCGCCTTGTCTGGAATCGTCTTTGCTCGGTCTGGTCGTTTCACGTGTGCGAACGCATGTGCACGCACATTTGCAACTCTCAAGGGCTTGAGCTTGCTAGAACCTAAGCGCGCGAAGCGCGCGTGGGGTTCAAGTTGTATGTATGTGTATATACATATAGATGTATGTATGTGCGCCCATGGAGACACACAACGTAGTGGGCCAAATGCGCCAAGATCCTCGAGGGAGGGCTGGGAAACCCGGTTGGGCTACTCTCCCGTGGGCGCGTGCAGGAAGATGTCCATGCAGGGCATGAATTGCAAGTTCGTCCGCAACCAGGCCTACGCCAAGCGCGGGATGAAGTGCACGGCGGAGGCCCGATGGCGGCGCGTGCGGGGCAGGGGAGGGCGCCTTGAGGAACAACGGAGTTCTTGATCCTCATCCTTCATCCTCGGTGCCTCGGGGCCGCGGGCGAGTTTACCCCTCCCGTCCTCCCTCCACCCCTCATACTCCCTCCCCCGTCGCACCACCAAGCTCTTCGGTAGGGTGGCTCAGGCGCTTCGGCTGAGACCTCTTCACCGCGTATAATCCTGAAGCCCGAAACTTCCAACTGCTACACGGATTGAATGCGGGTGGCTTTCCCTGTGCAGCTCTGGCTCCAGCGCCGCGCGCATTCGCTATCAGTCGTTCCTGCACTTGGGAGGATGGCGTGCAGGAGGTGCTCAAGAATCCTTGCCGCTTCGCGCATCCCCACCAGCCCATTCAGACACGATCGCGGGCTGCCTTGAGGCCTCTTGGAGGCCATCTTGGGCCATGCTCGGCTCTAGAGGCCGTCGTCGGCTACCTTGAGCCATGCTCGGCAAGCTTTGGGTATCGTGAGGCTGCCTGGAGGCGGGAAGGAACGGACGATGACAAGGAGGATGACCAGCCAGGCTTTGGAGACATGTTGTTGTGAGAGGCTCTTGGAGGACGACTAGGGCCATCGCAGGGGCTCTCCTGGGGTCCCCGTGGGGCCTCGTGGGGCACTCCTGGGGCTCTCTTGGGGCTCGTGTTTGGGGTCTTGGGGCTAGGAGGCGTGTGGGCCCCCATGGCTCGAAACGAGCGGCGGGGGGGGGGGGGGCAATTCAGGTCCCTCTCGCGGAGACTCAAGAATGGCGTCCTGGGGCCCTCTGGGGCCGCTCTTGGGCGTCTCTTGAGCGCTCTTTGGCAATCTTGGGGCGCTCGTGAGCCCCTCTTGGGCTTTCTCGCGCCATCCTGGGGCCATCTTGAGGCTTCGAAAGGCCATCGGAAACGAACACGCGAGAAGGCAAGCGACATTGCGTCTCCTTAACTTTGAAGTGTTTGGCTTCTTGGAGGGTGCCCAGGAAGGCTCGAAGGGCACTTGGAACCGTCTTGTGGCTGTCTTGGGGCCTCTTGGAGCCATCTTCGGGTATCTAGAGCCATCTTGGAGGCCGTCTTGGGCTGCCGAAGGTCCTCTTGGAGCCATCGTGGGTCCATCTTGAAACTCTAACCACCAGGCCCACCCCCCCTCCCAAGCCCAGGGGAGCGGGTAGGGGACGCTATGACCGACGCGTGTCACATTGAAGTCGTACTGAACGCACATCACGGATTTCGTATGTCGGTAGAAGGCGGTGGCCCGCGCGTTCCCCATCACATTTCAAGGGAAGCGCGCATGGGCACTACAGGATTATGCGGGAGGCAGGGATCTGCACGTTTATTTTACACGACATTGTAATCCCGAAGGATTCCTAATCAAATGTTTGGGATTTTGGTGCCAATTCGTTTTTGCCACTTGCGTGCATGGGGCCTGCCTTCTGGGTTTCATTAGGCATTTGAAGTGTTGTTATGTGCACGGTTGGTGTTTCATTGGGAATTGTTCATTGATGCGTATCCGAGTTTCATTTGATCGTTAACGAAAGGTTGGTAGCTCTCTCATGAAATCAACGTAGCGCGACTGATTATGCAGTTGCTTCACGAAAGCAATCAGCCTCTCATGCGCCAGCCGTAAAACCCATACCATTGTTCAGTTTCAACACCACATACTTCCCAGATGTCATAGCGTAATCTAGTACCAATTCCAACCAGCGCACTCATGCGGTCTCCTAGCACAACTATATCCCTGTAGGACGTTCATTGGTTTCTGAATCATTTTCAAATTTTGGACATCTAGGTTCGGATTGCCGGCTCAAGGAAGCTTGAGGTAATTGGTACGAGTTGGCTGTTTGGCCCATTGAGGGGTGGCCAGGTCGATTGTATTTGGTACCAGTCGAATGGGATTGGTCCGACATGCGGGCTGTACCCCCCACGATGCCGGTGATCGCGCGCGTACTCTGGCGATCGAAACGCACCCACGCCCCGATGTGCCCAACCCCGCCCAGGCTAGAGTACCGTTACCTTGAGTCCGCCCCCCCACGGGGGTAACGACCGTTACCACAAATCATAAAGAAACAATTTCCAGGACTGACAAGCCTGGATGGGGGCCTAAGTGACCCGTTTAGAATCGGCGAGGAGTTGGCGCGGGGTTGGCGCGCATAGGTGTTGTGCGCTGTGTTCGTTTGCAGTTTTGGCGCTTTGTTTGTTGCGACTCCCTTTTCGCCGTGTGCCTTCCGCGCTCGCTTAGGGGTCCGGCGACCCTGTTCGGGGATCAGTCTGGCGTAGGCCCGAGGTGCTCTCAGACTTCTGAGCGGGATCACGGCAGGGAGGAAGAACGCACGGCGATCTTGGACGCCGTCCACCCGGTGAGGGAAGAGAGGTGGGGTGAGAGGGGAGAGGGAAAGGTAAAGGTGTGACAGGCAGCCAAGGCGTGAGTAGGCAGATGTGGGGTGATGATGAATCGCTCCTGATGCCTCTCAGGGCCTCCTGGAGTGCTCTGGAATGCCCACGGCGCTCGACACATTCTCCAAACCCTGTGGGTCACAGGGCTTCGAAATTTCTTCACCCTGGCTTTGTGCTGATCCTGCCTTCTTATGATGCCCTTCCTCTCTTCTCGCCCTTTGAGCTCTTTATGACCCCTGATCCCTCATCCTTCCAGCGCCTCGGATCGCCGCGCTCGAGGAGAAGGAGGAGCGCCTGGCAGCGCAGAAGGAGGCGCAGAAAAAGATCGAGGAGAAGAAGTCGGCCGCCAGGGAACAACGCCTGAAGGAGCTAGCCCTTGCCCTCCTCTAGCTCTCTTCTCCCTCTCCTCGCTCCTGCATCCCATATCCCCCTCTGTCCCTCCCCTGCACCACCCCTACAGCCGATGGTGCTGGTGCGACCGGCATGTGTCCGGAAAGGTTACCGAATTTTGTGACGCGTTGCAGGTGTAGCTCACGCGTTTTGCATTTGCTATGTTTGTTTGTATTGCGTTGGTTGGCTTCTTAGTTCCCTAC